ACACGAGCGAGAGGGGTGGGTCGGAAAGAAGAGAGAGGAGGATCGTGCGAAATTCGATGATCCGCGGGAAGAAAGGAGGAAGGACAGAGGCGTAGCGGGGTAGCGACAGGTAGTTCCCATGGGAGGGTGATGGCGCAGCATTCCCACAGGAAGGGCGCGAGCGCGAAACGCTCGTCTCCTCGAGGCCAATTCCGGCCGAATTCCTCTTCGATCATTTTCCCCTCCCCTTTCGATTCGCTTCTTTTTTCCTTTTCCATCCTGAAAAATATCCATCTATTTTCTCCAATCCACCTTTATTATTATTGTTATTATTATTATTATTATTATTATTCTTCTTTTTTCTCCCGTAATTCCGAGGATATACACCGTGGATATACGAAACGCTCGAGGTGGAGACTCGATTTTCGCGGTCGACTTTCGAATCGCTCGGAAAGTGGGGGAAGGGAAGGGACTATCGAAGCGCGGGTGCAACACATATCCGCCACGTATGCACACGCACACACCAAACCCATTGCACGGTCTGCGCAGATGCCGCGGAGAGGTTACTGACGTTGTTGGGCGTGGACGAGGAGGAGAACCTGGTGTCGTCGTCGTCGTCGTCGTCCTCCTCCTCCTCCTCGGAGGACGAGGGCGTGGAGTTGGACGAGGAGCTCGAGGAAGAGGAACGGGAGGACGGCAGGCTGTTGCACCAGCTGGCCGCCTCTTTGGCCAACGAGTTGAAGCGGGCCCGCGAGAGGCAGACCACCTCGGCCGCCAGAGTCGCGACCACGACCACGGCCGCGGCGACGGGCCTCGTCGACAGGGAACCGCGTCGAACGGAGGCGATGGTGGTAGGGACGAGTTGCCTTCGGGATCAGAGCTTCGAGGGGGGGACGGGTAATTGTCGCGACGTCGCTGCGTCGAGCAAATGGGCGAGGAGGCAGGGGGAGTCGCCTCTCCCGTTTGGCAAACGGCGGCGGCGACAGGAGCTGAGTTTCGTTCGATGGACGGGCCGGGTTGTTCCGTCTTCGTCTTGGAACGCCGGCTGGGATGCATGCGCCACGGAAGCCCTCAGATATCTGGTCGAGGACGAGGGATTGCCGCCTCATCATCCCACGGTGTTGGCCATGAAGGACCATCTGGAGGTGCAGAGGGAACGAGCCTTCCTTCGATACGCCACGTAAACCAGTCGCTCTAGAGATTTTTATCCTCGAGACGAGGTGCTTTTTTGTTTTTTTTTTTTTTTTCTCCCCTCCCTTCTCCTCTTCCTCTCAGGAGGCTGGAGGAACTGCTTCCAGCGAGGAAGAGATAATCGCGATCTGGGACGCGATGGTTGGAAAGGAGAGCGCCCGTTCCACCCGTCTCGAGGTGGAAGTCGAGAAGAAGGTACACGCGGGGAGGGGGAAGGGCAACCTCTTTAGGTTACGATGCTTCCCCTGTGTGAATCGGAAAGAAAAAAGGGGGAGGCAATTTAGAAGAAAGGAAACAATCGTTGGATTCGTTGATACTCGTTGTCCGCTTGCCTTTTTTTTATTTTTTTTTTTTTTTAAGAAAGGAAAAGGATGAAACGCTTCGTTAACGTTCGTAACGTTCGACCTCGTCTACTCCTCCTCTACTGAGGATAGATAGAATAGACGGTCGTTGGTAGACGTCCCACATTCACTTTTCAATCATCTCGGACCGGTGATCGTCCACCGGTTTGCTCCATGCTCTTGGTCGAGCACACGGGGCTATCTGTCGCGATAAAAGAAAGGAAAATATAAAGAGAGGAGGAGGAGGAGGAGAGGAGAAGCAGCTCTTGCCATTCGGATTAAAATGCATTCATGCCGCGTGTTTGTCAAAAGCAAACGACGGACGCGCTTTCACGAGAGAGGGATAGAGAGGAGGACACCGGCGCNCGATTCGAGTCGAGCGGATTCCAAAACTTGGTCGCAGTTGCGGAGAGGAGTGGCCGAGTTGTTGCTTCTCGTTCCGGCCAACGAGAGAAAATCTCACCGCGTGAGAATCAAAAAAGTGAACGCTCCCTCCCTCTCTTCGATCCTCTCTCGTGATATTCTCCTTTTCTTCTTTTCCTTCCCCTTTCATTTTCATTTTTCTCCTCCCCCCCCCCCTCCACGCGTCCTTAGAAAGTACGTATATTATTAAAATAGAGATTCTAAAAAAAAGGTTCGAACAAATTTTTAAATTAGAAGTTAAGAACTCTTAAAGAAGCACTTAAAGAAGCACCGCTAACTAACCGTGTAAGCGTACGAAGAGTCGGGGATTTTCAAATCGATTCCATTCTTTTTCTTGTTTCTTTTTCACGAAGAAAAATAGAAAGAAGAAAGAAAGAAAGAAAGAAAGAAAGAAAGAAAGAAAGAAAGAAAGGAAAGAAGAAAAGAAAAGACGATCGTCTGTGTGATCCGTGACTCTTCTTCAGGTTCCTATCCATTGATGATGATACGGTAGAGGGAGGATGAACTTAACATCCAATGGCGCGTCACGAACGTACGTAACGTAACGTCCTCATTTTTTTCGATTGCACCAAATTGGTTATACAAGTTTAATTTTTTTTTTTTTATATTCGTACAACGATTAATTACAATATTCGTCGCTTTTTCTTGTTCTTTTTTTTTTAATCATTTTCAATCTTTCCTTTTCCTCTTTCGTATCGTTTTAGCACGATTTAGCGTTCGTTTTTTTTTTTATTTTATTTTTCATATATACTCGTCATTAGTATTTACCTATAATATCGTTTTCTTTTTTTTTTTTTTTTTTTAATATTCGT